GGAAGGGAAGGAAAAGGGAAGGAAAAGGGAAGGGTAAGGGAAGGGAAGGGAAAGGGAAGGAAAGGGAAAGGAAAAGGGAAGGAAAAGGGAAGGAAAAGGAAGGGAAGGGAAGGGAAGGGAAGGAAAAGGGAAGGAAAAGGACAGGACAAGAAAAAAAATGTATCGACCTTTTCTTACCTCTTGTTGCTGAACTTGTGTTTTAAAAAGAATGTAATTACAGAAATTAGGGGTCCGAAAGTGTGACTTTTTGTGTCCCTGTTACATCTGACCTTTGTTGTGTGACATGGAATATCACCGGAATTAATTTCAAACTATTCCTATTTGTTTGGCAGATAATTTGCATTCAGTCATCATTTTTGGAAATATGAAATGTGTTCTGAACTTACAAAATCATATGTCAGATGTGAAAGGGACACAAAAAGTCCCCTAATTACTGGAATTACCCAATACCAAATTCGAAAAGCTGAAAGTTTGCTGATTATACAGCGGGCTTTTGCATCATTTGTCAAGTTAAAACTAAATAACAAAGAAAACAAAGAATTCAAAGAGGGGAACTTAGAAATACATTATAAAAGAAGAGATCATGGGGGGGGAATGGAAAGTGCACATATATATCTAATGTCGACTTGGTCCTCTTCCCTTCGATAGCATCAGGTAAAAGCTTCAGAGGTAAGCATTTTGGCTTCGGTATCAGTGCACAAAAGTCTAACCGGCAATCGTGTAACGTGGGCGTCAAGGGAGACAATGTATGACAAACATAGGTATTAATGTCTACGTTCCCAGCCTAGCCTTTGTTTGCTTTTCTTCAGAGTTGCATCGAGATCATCTTTTGTATTGGACCCCGAACAATTAACGAGTTTGTAGAACCTAAAAGGTTACGTTCGCTCTTTCAAAGATAACGTGAGGACGTCGGCATATCTGCCTGCAAAAGTATGAACAGGGCCGGCTGCTGATGAACACGGCACTGCACGGTAATTCGAAGTCAGGGTGTGTGGAGTAACGACGCCTTTCACCACACATTAGTCGGAATGAGTTTTCTTTCCTTCTCCTTCATAACACCATTTCCTATTCCCGTTTTTAAAATCTATGGTCAATGTTTTATATGTTCTTTCGGATCCGCATAGGCTCTTTATACGATACTTCAGTTCTCACAAATGTCACCTTGGTCAAGCACTCCCTTTTTCCGGGCCGGCTTTAACCCGTTAAAAGGTGAACTCTCCCATTTTTACACACTAGAGGCGAATATAGTTTTCATGAACTGGGGTGTGGGTGAAAGAGGGTGAGAGAAGGCCTGCCCCTAGCTATATAGACGTCTGGTGCACAGGCGGAGATTTCTTGTCACGTGTTTAGGGAGGTGATCTCAGAAAGCTCATCAGCACGCCTCCATCTCAGGTGAGATCGTGACGCTGGCAATCCCCGTGCAAAGTCGGTGGTGCAGGCTACGGGTGCGTACACAGTCAGTAACTTGGGGGGGGGGGTTCCCCACCCTCAAAAAGTGTATGTGAGTTTGCTTCTGCATTCAATTGGGGACCCTGAACAATAGAGGACAATAAGGTTCCCGATTGACAGAGGGTCCCCGATTGACAACTGTGTACAAAACATATGGGTAGTCTTCTAAACAAGTTAAAGTACAAACAAAAGAGGAACAATAGGGGGTCCCCAGTTGCAGGCAAATACACACTTGGGTGTGTGTGTGGGGGGGGGGGAGTAAATCCCCACCCCAGGATCTCCATCCCCACGGTCTGGTGGCATGCATGCACTCACTCTAGTGGGAAACATGTGATACTACTCCATTCAGTAACTTTGATTTTCGGCTATTCAACTAGTCATTTTCCAAAATCACTTTAAAAATAACATAACACAGCAAAACAAAAACACACCAAACAAACATAAACTTTGCACTAATATCACCTTTCCAAGAATTTATTGCCGTTGCGTATTGCGCGCTAGAATTACATGAATAAAGTAAGCAACATTGAAATTTACTTTACGTTATATGTTCTGGTCCGATTCTTGACATTACTCTGTAAAGGTAATAGGTTAGGTTTTGTGAACAGGAAAAGGCTGGGGCTATATCTGTCCTTGGCAATAAAAATCTTATATAACTTCTCATAGAAAATACCTAACGATTGCGTTTTTTTACCAACTATGCGTTCAGATGTTTAAATTCAAGTCAGAAGTGCTTTTCAAGTACACTACCAAAGTTGCTTTAAAAACAGAAAATTATACCACCCTATCGCAACTACACCGAATCTAGGCTGTAAACTGTTTTGACTCGCAAAAGTGCACTTGGAAATTACTTATTATTTCTAGTCGGAGAATAAACGTCGGATCAAAAATGGGAAAAGATACCACATGTGAAAGACGTGAAGTTCCCGGTGCTGTCTACAATTAAATTGTGTTTATTCAAATATTTGAGACAGTTCATTATATCGATGAAAAAAGTCGAACTATTATATGGTGGAAAAAGAACAGTACAACGAGAACACAACTGAATTTGACAATCCACTTAAATCAGAGTTATTAACATCGTACAAGGTCATCATTTCAATGCATGTTACTGATGAGATAAAACACAACAGACATAGTCAATCACTTTGAATTGAGTAATGCAGATCAACAGTTTAAAATGATTATTTCCCACTCTTTTTTTAAATGTTTGTTATATTTAGAGTACATGTATATACTATCCGAAAAGATGAGAGGAGCATAACACCCTTTGAAAACCAATATCGCAAAGAAAAAGTTTACTTCGGGAAGCTTTCGAAGGTGGTGTTCATGATGCATCTGAGTGTTCCGGTAATGCTATCACAATCATGTACAAGTATCACTGTATAGTTACGCGAACCGAGACATCCAACTGAAGGTGAGATGTGGAAGCAGTTGTCTTCTTGTCTTGTTGCATGGGATTCTTCCCATTCTGGCATCGTGACGATCATTATACTTCATAACCAAAGTACAGTTTACCTGGGATCAACTGTTGTAACACTAGCGAGGAGAAGGATTATCATGTCCAAACGTGGTAAAATGAATTGATGAGAGTGAGGCACGTGCAGGGTAGGTGAATTATTTAGTCCCTTCTCATCTCGCAGATGAAGGGGCGCCTTACGGCCGTGCAGCTATAATCATACCAGCGACGGTTGGACCGGTACACCTGGACGCAGTCCAAATCAGAGTAGTTGTTTGGCTCGCCCGGGTTCCAAAAGCTGTAGCTACTCTCTGTGAAGGGGGTCCCGTCGTCCCATTCAAACCTCCTCTGGTTCTTGTGGAAGTCTCGGAGGCCGATCCAATAGTAACTGTGCTTGTGAGCTCCGTTCTCCTCGAAGATCTTATGGACATGGACGGCCTCCTCCTCCTTGTTGATGGTCACAAGGAAGGACTTGCCTGGTCTGAGGTTGTAGCAGTACTCGTGGGCTTGAAACCAAGTCATCGAGAGTCCAACGTAGCGGTAGCATCTCGTGCCCTGGAACTGGGACCAGTATGGCGGGCAACAGGCCTGACTAAGCCCGCTGAAGAACAAGACAGCTACAATAAGGAGTAAACCCTTCATCTTTATGAGATATTTGTAGCTCTTTCCTCCGAAATCTGTCGTTGGTTTGAGGTCCAGCAAAAGTTGAACGAGCTGTCGACTACACTTCGGTGTCGCAACGAGTGGTTGGAGCAGCACCGTGTGTCAGCACTGAAGCACTTAAAGGTAACTAACTATCCAGCCCAACCCAATCAGAGTTGAATTCACTGTTTATTTAATACTTGAAAAGTCTGGATGAACTGTGAGCTCAGCCTGTTTATTCGCTCGATGATAGCGATCTTGACATAGATTCTACCCCGACCCCAGACATTGCTCTGAAACGACATTACGGGTAGATGGAAGAATTGGGGGTAAATAAGGGCACACCTTTCCATCAGTAAACAATACTGACATTTGAAAGACCGAACACTCGATTAAAAAAAAAGGAATATGCAATGTGATATTGAATAAACAAGGGGAGTGGTGAGAGGTCTGTCTAGGTTTGTGGACAGTCCGCGAAGTTTCCTCTTGTATTTGATTGTTCATTTCTTTGGAGTTTATTTCATCATTCTCCTGCTGTATTTTTCGGGCAGACCTGTCTGGCCAGTGATGGATCAACCAATCCCAATGTCATTTGGAGCTGGAGCGCAGGCCGCGCATCGACACCCAACACTGAGAGGGGGCCGGTGCCCAACGAGATTCAGCCAGGATTGTAGCTCAGTCTGCATGCATTTTGTTAATGAGAGCATTGAGGTAGAAACGGAGACAACACAGTGGGGTCTCATAGGGTGCACCCCTAAAAATAAATTCCCGTAGACAGCAGTGATAAATCCCCATACTTCAAAAATATTTTAAAAATACTCACAACTCTCACAGGTGTTCATGTTGCACAGAAAAATGGTGTTCCACATGTCCTCTTTCATTTTCCTTTCAATTTTTAGTGGGTTGACCAATGAATTTTTGAGAAATTCTCAGCCAAAGCAGACCACTCCGAAAATGAAGGAAATTACACTGCCTGCAGGGAAAGTAGCCATTCTTAAAATGCATCCCTCTGCAAAATGGCTCAAATAGTGACACTTTTGGACCCGATTGCATCCAAATTGCTCAGAATTGGAAGCCCTGGGTCCAGCCAAAGGTTCAGTCTCATATTTCTCCAATTCCCCAGTTCCATGGCTCTCAGGACCCTCTAATATAGAATATTTGGGTCTTTCAGCTTTCGTATGAGAGCAGAATGGCTAAAAACTATGGTTGAAAAATGGTCCTAAGTGCCCGAGAAAGTTGATGGTTGCCACTTGAAAAATGGCTCCAATCAGACTTCGGAAAAATCACTTTTTGGGGGTGGTTTTGTTTTGTCGGAATAATTAAAAATGTAATTGGTTAACCCACAAGAAATTGAAAGATTAGTGAACGGACAAGAATTTCATTTGTGTTTCAGAAACCTCAGGGATGTTGGCGTGCATGTTATTGGGCCCTGAACAGTGCTGATTTTACACTGTTTCCAATGGGGCTTGAATTAGTGGACTATACCCCGAAGCAAGTGACGACGCGCGGCTTCGATATGTATCCAAAGCACAAACGAAGACATCACAGAGATTCCGACTTGAGTCAAGTCTACAAGAAAGCTAGACACGTCATCGTACGATGTCGCACATAGACCCCGTTGTTTGGACTAGGTGTGAAGCCAGTGTCCGAAAGTCATGGCTGCGGCTGGAAATTACACGTGCACCCATAGAGGCCACTGGCTAGCCATTTCCCATAGACACGTATACATGTACATGTACTTCCGTCGCGTTTCACTGAGTTCGCTGCTTTTGAGCTGCGTTCGAGTGTGTTAGTCGTACCACCGACTTGCACTTTGAGACCTAATCCGCATGACGATGGATGGCGGATGGTTGGACGGATGAATGACGGGCATGACAAGAGTATCCGCCCCGAGCTTAAGTGCACCCCAAATGGCGGGAAAAAGACAGGTGGTTACTTGCAGGTTCTTGCACGCGTTCTGCGTGTACGCAAAGATATGGAATTCCATATCTGCCATCGCCCATCTCCCGTCGTCCGTCGCCTTTTTGTTGTGTCCCAATTCTGCCATTTACCTGTTTCAAACATGCCATTTTCCGTCGCCCGTCGTGCGTCGCCGTCGTATGTCGTGCGTTGCCCATCGTCCGTGTTTGTTTGTTGTCACGCTTGCGCAGTGGTATTTTTAACTTTGATCCTTGATCGTTTCACATGTACATGTCCTTGTTCGATCGATCCACCATGCCTGACTCTCATTTTAGCAGTAGAACTAGAAGATGTATTCGTTTTTTTGCAGTTGCGCCGAACTCCACTTGAAAGAAGAAATAATATCCTTTCATTTTTAAAGACTGACATAGGTAAAGTGACGCGTATATGAAATAATACCATTTTTGTTACATAAATAAATTAACAAAATAAACTTTTATTTGGGTAGATTGTTTTTCTTGATAACTTAGTTACTCTAGACGTAACTTTACTCGTTAACAGCCTGACTTTAGGTCTATAGCCTTTGTGATATTTCTGTCTGTCCCTGCACGATACCCCACAGAACGGAATGTAAATAATAAATTATTTACAATGTTTGATTCCTTAATAGTTTTCATAAGAGACGAACTGATTCAACATTATTTTGAGGGCGGGTATACCTATGATGAAATCTGCTGTTTACTCTAAATTAGACATGACTTGAGTTGCAGGTAGGCTCACAGAAGTCTTTTAAACAGTAACGTTACTTGTTAGCCGCATAAATAATGCTGATATGCTGGAAAACCTGTTCTCATTGGTCTATCCACCAGGGCATACACACCCACAAAAACAACACGTCATATTTTCTGAAACTTAAACCAAGTGGTAATTGCCCCCTAACATACATTTAATAAACAGTTTGCTATCCACAGCACTGTCTCGTATTTCTGGATTTCAAGGTGAAATTGAGAGGACAAAGTGGAATATCTGTATCGGTTGGCAGATTTCTTTCTAGAATTTGATGAAAACAAGTCGGCACATTTTTACAGTATGCAAATTAGAATTAGACTGTGGATAAGTTGGCCAAAACATTTTTGCTGAAAATGTTTTTTTTTCCCAAAACACTTGGTTGAATTCTCAGAAAAGGCGATATTTTCTTGTCAAGGGGCAGGGTAATCTAGCATTATTGGCATTAATTATGGGACTAGTATATGCTTTGCAGGTGGGATTTGTACTTGCCTTATTGGGAAAAGATCCTTAGAAGTGAATGGAATCATCACATTGTCATTCGTTAAACCCCGGCTTTTGCAGGTCCTATGCAACCCATTTGACGGGCGACGCGCGACGGGCGACGAGCGACGGCAGATATGGAATTCCATACAAAGAGCATTCTGCCGGAATCTGGTTCGTAAATGTGACGTCACTTAAGTTTAAAACCACTGCACATGCACTGCACATAGATTTACATGCATTTATCACCACTACATGGAACCATGGAACCGGAAGTTAACGCGCAGCTTCAGCGATCGTCCAATGGGAGCCTGCAAATCGTGGCGCGTCCGCCTTTGTGTGACGGGTACTCAGAATGCTCCGCGTCAAACCGTACCGTATATACTTGCGCGCCTCAGGCATGGTGCGCCTATGGGATGGGCACAAAAAATCCCTCTTTTGTTCCGCTCGGAGTGGATAATCCACGGCGCGGGGATAACCGTACCGAAAACACGCACGGGAAATAAAATAAGAATGCTATCGTAAGAGCTGCAGCATTAACGGTCTCATTTATCCAGTATGCTCGGATTACACGTACGTTCACGCCCATGCCCGGCCCCCGTGCAATTGTGCACGCATGCGCACAAATGACCTAGGCGGCAACAAAAACGCTGAGCGGGCCATTGAAAATGTACAGGGGTGCGACTTCGATGATCATTTTCTCTCAGGTTTCTGACTTTGTTCATTTTTTGTCTTCAGAAAATCCCATTAAGTTGTTTTTGCTACTATTATCTAATTTAAGTGGAAGTTTTAGTGCTCTTTTAACAGACTCTTAAATCGCAATCTTTCATGTGCGCACGGATACCGTGCACGATATGGGGCCGATGGGTCACCCCCCCACATGTCCAATCCCTACACACACTCTAGACTATTGTTACCTAAAACACACCCCTAAAAGTCTGTAAAGAATTCCCTAGACTCCGATCAAACAATGAGCGACAAAAAGGCGGGGGGGGGGGTTTCTCTCTGCCCCATATCTTGCATGAAGATCGTCGTTTCTTATAGTATGGCCCCCTTCCATGCTAAGTAGTATAAATTACGTCGTCAATGTTCTTGGAGCCAACCTGTGCATTTGTAAAAACCCGCACTCGGATCTTCACCGTCACGGTACCTCCCTGATGGTTCAGTTTACATGTGCCAATACTGTACCCATTATGATTTGCTGCTCTCAGCACTGGGAAATCCGAAGAACCAAATTTCTTTCTCTTTAGAATCTGCATTTTGTCTTGTACAACCCCAAACACAACAACTGGATACCATTTCTTTCGGTAGTACTCCCAGCTATGACGAGTTCAATAGCATGCTATGTAGGCTTACATGTACGTACAGTCGAACATTGGTGGGCCTACGTTTTTTTTTTTTTACAAAATACACAGGTTGGTTCCAAGAACACTAACGATATAGTTTATACTACTTATGATGGAAGGGGGCCACACTAAGAAACGACGATCTCGAACGTGCACACCGGAAAATTACGATTTCAAAATCTTTTAACTGAGCACCAAAAATTCCTCTTAAATTAGAAACTAAAAGCAAAAACGATTTAATGGGATTTTCTGAAGAAAAAAATGAACAAAGTCAGAAAACCTGAGAGGAAATGATCATCGTACCAGCGTACATTTTCAATGGCCCACTATCACACTTCTTGCCGCCAAGGCCATTTGTGCGCCTGCGTATACAATTGCGAAGAATACGGAGCCACGTACATTGACTGCATGGGGTTACTTAGAGGTGGAATCTTCTATTAGAAATCAGTGCATATCATAATGATTGGTATACATGACCTTTTTTGACATCTGTAAAGCTTATTTTACTTTAAAAGGACTTTAAGGCTGTAAACTGCGAAGTTTAACGAAGATCGTCCCATTTCACTCTCATAAGAAATTTTCCTGAAAACTGAGCTCACCCAGGTTTAAATGGGATATCCCAAGTCAAAATGGCTGTAATTTTCGGTTCGCTTGAAAAACCATTGTTATTGTCTTAAATAAAGTTTTTACTGTAATTTGAAGAAGTATATCGGATAACCTATTCAGCTGTGAGTGATGATGACAATTCTTACTACATGGGAATTATTGACTGGAAGTTTTTGTTAATGTTTATGGTTCAAGGTAGGTTTTCGGGAGTTGGCGGTGGTTGATCTTTGTTCTGCTTATTGTGCTAGTTGGTCCTGCTAGCTGCTCGCACATGTCATGATGGTTGACCATGCATTGTGTGCGCAATGCTGATGAATTAATGTAGGCTAACGTTACTAGGCCTAATTTATTATTTGTAATGCTTTGTAATGTATTTTCATATAAATATTAAATGATGAGACCTTGTTCGCACTACGAGTTCATGTTATCTCCTGGTTATTGGTCATTTTAGTGAAAATCATTCCAGTTCTACACCGTACACGGGTATAGTGGACTCCCTGACCGTACTAGTACGTTACAGAGTCGTAATGAAATGAAGACAACGTCCAGCCTGGCCTAGCCTACTAGTTACTGTTAAACTTAGTAAGAAGTAGTATAGGCCTATAGTACAGTATATAAAAGTATAGCCTATTCCGAAAATCTGCATAACCTAAATTATCAGATTAGAAAATACCTGAACTCAGTATTTGGCTGCCACATGCACAGCCATTATCATGGTAGTGGATTTGTAAATTATAATTCTGATTAATAAGATAGTTGGCCCAGGTTGGACATCGTCTACATTGCATTGCAACTAACATCCAGGATGTAATGTTCTACTGTAGCAAAATTTTTTCAACCTTTTTTTTCTCACATTTTTATCTGGCAGAGGTAGCTCAAATGTTGTTCACAAGTGCCTTGTATCCTGAATTCCATAAATGCTGTGTTGGATTTACTAAATATGCCCGTGGACAACATATTTTGCAGGAAATTTTGCTATACTCCACGCTTTCCGTTGCGATTTGTGAACAATCTACGTTCGTTTATCTTGTGGTACACATTTGCGCATGCGCAAAATGGACTCCAAGCTCTGCCCACATTCTATAAGTTATGTTGTCCAGAGCTTCATGTACATGTAGGTCTAGGTCTTTGCTCCATTGGCAATGTGTGGAGATGCGCAGACAACAGACCTAGCCATACCTTTAGAAACCCGTTTGGGACACGGCCTTATCTGTGACATCTTCACACCTACAGCTCTTCCGCGCATGCGTTCGGGGCAGTCAGTGTCTATGTATTTCGTGCATGTACAAGTACGCGTACTAGACAAACGTAGATCGTTCACGACGGTAAGCAAGTAGTCTCATATTGTAATCACTTAGCAACATTTAAAATTTTTACAGGAACTTGACGAGGACTCTGTGTATAGTACATGTAGTCAGCATGGCAGAAAGCAGTCACGAAATGGAAACACAGCAAGCGTGTGAACTTCCACCTCGGGAACTACCACTGACACCTGCCGTAGAGCTTGGAGATGAGATAGAGACAAATGCAGTTAGTACAAGTAGTCCTGCAAGGGTCCCATCTCCTGTATGTACTGACGTTGACCAGTTGAAAGATGCTGCTGAAGATGGGGCAGGTTCAGAGGGTACCAAGGAACACGTGGTTGAACATGCACCAGATGTACTAGAGCCGTTTCAGGTTACCAGTGTAGATGTCGCAGAGCAGGCCAGTGCATGTATGTCTGAACCACACAATTTACAGGAGGAATCTAGTTTGAATATTTCAGAGATGGTCGATAGCCCTGATCAGATTCAGGAAGACTTGCCTGAAGAAAGTTGTGATTCTTATGACCAAGTAGAAAATGAATCCTTCTTTCAGTGTCCATCTGAGGAAAATGTGCATACACTTTCAGAGACAACTTTTACTACCTGTTTAGACAAAGTTCCTACAGGGATGGAATCTATGACTGACACAGGAGTACTTGTAAGAGATACCGATTCCATCAAGCCAATTGGCAGGGAGGATTTAGAAATGCTAGAACCAGAGGAAACACCAAGTCCTCCGGAAATAGTACCTATTGAAGTAGGACAGTCCCCAGAAAAGCCAGCAGAAATAGAAGATTGTACATATACCAATGTGACGGAGCAAGACTTCACTTCTTCTCAAGCTGTTACTGAACCTGAGGTGGAGCCAACTGAAGTGGAAGACCGACCCTCCAGAAATGATGTTACTTTGGAGCAAACCACGACCACTGAGGAATTTCCTGTAGACGAACCAAAGCAAATTTCAGAAAATCAAATAGCAGCAGAAGAGGATGTCGAGGTGAGCGTACCTGCTAACCAAATCTCAAGTGTACAAACTACTGTAATGCCTGAAAGTGTTGCCGCAGCTTTGGTCTGCGAGGACACCAACTCCAGCCAGGACGTCATCAAGGATGACACCCTGAGAGTAAAGCCACTGGCCACTCTGGATGCGGCCACGGATGCCAGTGGGAGGAGCACCCCCAACGTTGACTTCCTGAAGGATTTGACAGGGAGGGACAGTCCGAGCATCAGGTCGCTAAAGGAGGATTCCGGGCGGGACAGTCCCAGTCAAAGATCCAGACGGAGGATAGGGCGAGACAGTGTTGTCACGGAGGCAAATGAAGCAAAGTGAGCAGAGAATGGCCCATTGTGTTATTGGAAGAATTGCTCCCGGTTCAAAGAGCAGCCTTTTCAGATTCCTTGATTAATATCATTGTGGTGTTGAGTTTTTGAGGTTACCCTGGTGACTCCACTTAGACGCTCAGCACCAGAGTATTTATTCTAAGGCCAAAATTCCCTTTTGGGTAATTCTATTTTCCAAAATTTTCTCACACATTTTTTCGAATCATTTGTAAGTTGAACCCTTGTGTGTAATTTTGAAAAGCCTTTGAAGAACTGGAGTTTAATTTTCTGAGTCCAGAGTTGTGCCGTTGAATCAGAAGAATTCCCCAAAATTATTGCGATGTTGAAGAAGCAAGAGTAAAAGTACTGTATTCTGTGCAGGCACAATAATGCTGAATCCGAAGTCACTTATGAAGGAATGAATTACCAAAAGTCTGGTAACAAAAGTAATGCCTTTGCACTACACTGTGCTAACCATGCATTTTTTACGTCATACACATGACTCCTGACTAATGCCATGGCCGTATCATATCCCTCCTTGAAAATTCTAGCACCGATCAGTGTTGTATTTGGGTCCTTTCAAAAGTCCGTCACAAAGGCCACCGGTAACAGGGTGAAAAATGACAAAATAATGCCTTTGTGACAGCTCATTTGAATAGCTTGTGAATTGGCCTATAAAGACAGAATGAGTTGTGATGGACTTACAGGGACTTGTGATGGACTTGAATATAACACTGGCACAGACCCTGGGGGTAAAAAGTTGTTATTATTCCATGTTGCTCCCCCCCCCACTTAACAAAAACAAACCCCAAACAAATCACAGTTCAGTCAAGAGTCCACCCCCCAGTTTTAATACAGGGCACCACTGTTTTTCAATTGACACCGTTTATTCATTTTTTCCCCTTGGTGACAGTATGGGAATATTCCCTGCAGAGAATTTGTTTGAGTATCAGTGGCCACAAGATAAAGGAGCTGAGTGGTATTTTGTCCAGGAACAAGTCAGCGAGTTTCTGCAAGTTAAGTCATTCAAGCGGAAGTATCCAGGTGACAGAACATTTGGAATGCGTTACAGATTGTATACAATGACTAACACATACAGTTGGCACTACCGGCAAGCAGTAAGAGAATGCTGGGGAACACGTCATAGTTGCATTTCCCAGTCAGCTTTGCTAATTCTTAGCCAACTCAATCTAGAATTAAGATTGCTGAGTTAGCGCTTCCTTGGCCGAGTATAGACACCGTACAGGATTGCACTGTGTGGGCTTCCTGCAAGAGTGGAGGAAGAGCGAATGGCATTATATTTCACTGGCTTGAGCGTGCTGCCTTTCAGGATTTGAACCTTCTTGTCATGCTGTTCACATGAATTCAAAATAATTCCCCAGAAAGCATCTTGCAGGTATAAGCGGCTTTAGGCCACTACTGAATACCACATGTGAGACTTGTATACATGTATGTAAGGCCTATGTTGTTTTAATGTCCAGATTTAGAAAGACGAGTGATGGACATTCATGAGAAAGAGTTCCTTCGGGAGAGAGGGGTCGTCACTGAAGAGCAGGTCACGTTAGGTGAGTGACCCCATAGCCCTAGCAGTCCCAAATCCTCTGATTTCAATATGATTTTGTGTACATCCTAAGGGGTTAGGGTTAATGAAATTACAAATAATGATTTACTTAATTGATTTTAATTAAGATGATTTACTTTTTTGCCTTAATTCAGTAGTTAAACAGAATTTTGCATTTTCTTAATATCATTGCTAGTTATACCTAGGTCAACATTATAGATACAGAAGACAAAATTCAGTGTCTTTCAAAGTACTACTCTTGTGTGTGAAACCATTCATTTATTGAGATCTTTTGAGAATCGCACTGATCATTAAAAAAGTTAGCGATCAATTGATGTCCAATACCAAATGAATGGGGCATTTGAGGCCGTGGCAGATGTGGTTGAGAGATTTGTTGTAATGTCCGGTGTTAGGACTAACGGCATTGCGTGCGGACGAGGTGTACGACTTGATGCTAAAAGATGCTCCAGAGAAGTCGGCAGAGTATGCGCGGGTCCTGCATGAAAAGGAGAAACAGAATATCAGCAATAAACACAAACAGTACGAAGCGGTAAGTAGCTACCGGGATGATGAAATAAAAGGGATTCGTTGTCCTGGATTTTAAAGTTGTATTTGTTCCTTGTTACATTCTACCAATCAGTTGCATTTCAGTGTTCTTTACCTGGAATGCACAGGTGGATGCAGTTGCATTGTTTGTCCCGGTGGTTAGGGTTTGTAACCCCTGATTGTAGGGTCTTAGTTCGAAACCTGCGATGAATCTTACTTTGGGACCTTGGGCAAGTCACTTACCCTAACTTGCCTCTCTCTACCCAGGAATATGAATAGGTACCCGTTAGGGTTGGGAAGGTTATTGTATACTCCCCAGGGAGGTGAATTCAGGAATCCTTTTCTTGACCCAGTTAGCAGGGACATTAGTATGGTGTAAAGTGCATGGAGAGTCTATCAGAATTGAAATGTGCTATATAAATATGTCATATTGTTATAAAATCCTACCATCAAAGTACACTTTATTCACTACTACTCTAGCTAAAACTATTTGGATGTGTTTAGTATTAAAATATTCAAGAAAACAAGTGTGTAAACAATTAGATTTTGGCAGGTATATAAATTAATTGTATTTCCTGTAACTTCAGCCATCTGTTGACTCCAACAAAGTTCAAGAATATGTCAAGAAAGCAGTCAGGCAGGCGGCAGACTACAACTCGGCCTTAATGGCTGAAAGGAGGGAGGAGAGATTGTACTATTTTGACATGCAAACCTTGGTAAGCTTTATGCCTGCAGTAATAATTAATTGCACCAATGGTAGACATTTACACTCTTCATACTCAACAAGTTCTAAATCCTACTGCCTGGGACATTATGGGCTCAAGTTCCAAAGTGTAAAGTACTGTCAAAGACCACTTTTTTTTGTCTGGCGGTTGGTTCTTGATGAACTTGGTAATTTTCCTGAGTTTGAATTATTAGGCTGATTAATATTCATTGTCATCACAAATTTGTGTACAGTGGTTGCTGGTGCTGGTTATGATTCATTCGGTCATTCACCATTGTATAGCGATATTATTTTTATTGTTGTTAAGTATTTCTGGTAATGAAACTAAAGATACCGCAAATGTACCCAGAGTACCATAGCTTGCAACCCTGAGAAACAGTTACAGTTTAGAGGTTGGCAGAAAACTCCTTGAAGTACGTGCCAAGTGAAACCCACAGGGTCAGGTAGGGTCTGAAAGTCCAATCCACAGTCAGCCTCAGCAGGATTTGAACCCTGCCCACAGAGGCAAAAGGCATGGAAAATACTACTATGCTAGATGGCCCCTGAACTTAACCAACCAACCAACCAACCAACCCATACCTCTGAAGCTGTAGACTGGTCCCAAATAGTCAATTGAAACCTACCTAATTTTACCATCATGAGACAGCTTTTTGGTCTCTTGTGGAAAAAACCCAGATAACTCATTCATTGTGGAAACTTCTTGTATTTGGGACACAGTCAGAGCCTCAAGATGGTTTGCCTTTTCTCGTGTTCTCTTCAGACAGTGCAGATGCCAGCAAGTAGAATGAAGAGACAAGATAAAGAGGCTACCAAGATGGGTCCATACCCCGTCAGTGTCATACCAGGCCAATATCAGAATTACTATCGCAGGTCAGTTGGTAACTTGCAAACTTGAATTGGAGCAGTGGGCTAGAAATGTCTGGAAAACGAATGTTTAGACATGACAGGAATGAGTAGTTATAAAAATGGGAAAGTTGAGGAAAACTTAAACTTGTTCATTAGCTTTGTTTAGAGTAATTAGCTGACAATGGGTTGGCTCTCAGAAGTCATAGAGTGATCTTGAAGTGGGGGTCGAACCCCAAAGGCAAATGTTGACACATTCTAGGAACCGGCTTGGAAAGGATAAATGTGGGATGAATTCAGTATTTGGCATCAAAATGTTTTTCTTCATGCATCTTAACCCTGCTCTCTCAGATCCTTCAAGTTGTCTTTGTTTTCTAAAAGGAAATCGCATGTAGGAGGGTAAAGACCAGCCTTTGGTACTTAGATTTTGAAGGGTTTCAGAAGATTAGGATCAACCTGAAGCAGAAGAGTCTGTCTTGATTCCTTTTACAGCTACTCAGCTGAGGAGTTGAAGTATTTTCCTCTGAACACTGCTCTCTACGGACCAATGGCACCGCGCCGTCAGACGGACCTGGCACCACCCCCAAACAAGGATGAACCTGACCAGCTGTCTGACAATGAGACCGTTCTGGTATGTTTGTGACAGAAATGAACTGAGTGTGGGGATATTGAGAATACTTTTAAAAAGATGTATTTTTGAATTTGTCTTAATAGCTATTAAATTCAGTATTCAGACTCACTGGATATCTGTTGCTGACTTAGTAGACCTGCTTTGGCATACCTACTGTGTGCAGTGATGCCCTCTGAATACCTTTTATCAACAGAGATACCGTTCTTTTCATTGTTTTTTCAACAAAGAATAATGTCGGTGGCACTGTTCTTGCTCATTAAAACAACTATGATACATCTGCAGACAACAATGTGACTGTACGATTATGACCAATCAGTGATTGTTTACAAACTTGCAGTAGATGGATAAAAGCTTAGACAGCCGTCACCAGTGGTCTCACTTTTAGGCAGCAGATCCCATCAGTTGGTACCTAAAGTCTCAGAAGTTGCATTTATGTTTGCGTCAGTTACTCCTTTTAGGAGCATGGGACGAGGTGGGGTGGGGTGGTTTCTACGTCAAACCAGTCCTGCCTAAGCAGTCACGGTAAGGAACAAGCATCCCACATGGATTTAGATGTAACTGACGGTGCTCCCTCTGTCATTGTCACAGTCGACAGAGAATTTTGACTCGTCTAGCGATGTCAGTGACCGTGACCAGCCCATGCCGATGGACTTGGATGCGACTGACAGTGCAGACATTGGTAGTGATGACAGAAATGGACACATCATGCTGCCTGTAGAACCATCTTCCTCTGTGTATAAAGTGAGTTATACCATTCAGTAATGTTCGTACCATTCAGTTATTTTCTTTGTCCGAGGTGCAACTTTCAGGGAAAGTTTTGAGAAAAGGACAAGTTATCTGATCCCGCAAAATGAGTCTTAACCACTTCCTGCTGGGGATTCCAGTACCGGACACTATGCTTTATAAGCGTGGCCGGGGTCTCCGAACTGGGACAAAGGGAGCTGGGCCTTGTAACAAAAGACCATGCTCAGAACAAAAGACCAGGCTGCTGGGTATTACCGACATTTTTTCACTCTCAAAAGTGGAGATAATCTAGCCTTGTTTTGAAACAGTATACCACAGTTAGGGGCATGTAGAGTGAGTGGATTACCACCGTGGACAAAAGTGCTCCACCACAGCAGTGATGAGTCACACGGCACTGCTGCATGCTAATCTGGCTTCTATTTATATGACAGGTTTTGCCCTTACCCAACGTATATAAATAAGCACTGTATGCTCAGTGCTTGTCCGAGAGCTTGCAAAAAAACCTCATAAGCTTACTCGGGTGAGACACATCTTGAAATAGTTCGCGGTACCCGCTGCTTCACTTGAATCAGACCGGCCAGGCGACCCCGGCAAGCTCGGTGGTTGCGTGGTTAAGACATCTGCTTCGAGTCCCACCCGAGTAAGCTTGTGGGATGTTTTCGCAAGCTCTCTTACAAGCACTGAGCATACAGTGCTTATCAATATACGTTGGGTAAGGGCAAAACCCGTTATATAAATTAACATCTCCCCAATGCAAAAACACATCCTGGCTTCTATTGAAAAGAGGTCAGCAGCACACTGTGCCAGGCTCATGAACAAAAGAAAGTGATATAACACCGCACAATCTGGGCTCTTTTTACAAGGCTGCAGGCTTGGCTGCAATACTCGAGCATCAGTAGATTTTGTCTGTCAGGTTAGAGAGGCCACCAGACAGTTCTTCGTGTGGGTGTTAGTGTCCGGTAAATGAAGATAGGAATTTTTAAAGAATTTTGAAAACAGAAAAAAATGATAAATATCCCGCCCCAGCATCATCAACATCGATAACTGCCAACGGCAGCAAGTGGTTAAGTGATATGATTTGCTGTTTCATAACCACTAGAAGGAACATACTGAGATATCCATTTTGATTTGTCACACATTTTGGCATCCTCATGAAGACTGACATGTGCTTGATTCCCGTTGATTTGTGGATGTTCAAATCTGCCCCAACTCAAAAGTAGGTTTGACAACTTGCGTTAAGGGTCACATTGCTCTACAAGGCTAATTCAGCTGTCGAAAATGCAGTTTCTGGGAGAGGAAGTTTCAAATCAAGCAGAAGAATTGGTGGGAAGATGGATTTATTTCATGAGGTCAGGGAAGTCGGTGACAGTTTAAAGTTGTTGACTGCCACTGTAATGAGGAATAGTCCTGAGTAAATCTACAAAGGGGGAATCGTACAGAGGTTCTTGTGAACCCTCATATCAGATTGAAGCCTGTTCCACTATCAACGTCCCCTTGTTAAGTGACTTGACACATCACATACATTATACACTCCAGTACTCGTTCTGTACTCATGATTCATGTGTATATATATATTCATGCAGCCAGTGGCTGTACGAGAATTGGAGCCTTGCGCTGTGGTTGGTCTAGAACGAGTGAGTACTGAAAATCTGCCCCAAATTGCACCAAGTTGGTTGAATGCTTCACCCATGGACAAGAAGGTTGTCCTTCTAAATGACGATCTGCATCCACGTGATGGAGAATGCGACCGAGACCCCAACTTTGCATCCACCCGACATCCAGTTTAATGGGGAATATTTTGTGTATGCATTGCAAATTGTCTTGTGGTTGGATGAACATCTTTGCAGGTCTTAGTAATCCAGCAAAACCTGCTGGAATTGGTTTATTGCATGGCTCGCATCCTTGGAATGTAAAAAACACCAGCTGGGCCAAAGGAAATCTTGCTGCCTATGATCAAAGGGTTCACGAATGTTACAAGGCCAGATAGCAGATGTTTGGCAGCCGAGCGCATCGGCAGGCAAAACTCAGAATTGAAACTTTAAGGAGACAAACACTTGTCGCATTTTCAACCACCATTAATTTCAGATGTCATTTCATTGGAAAAGTCTGTAAAAGGACAAAGTTGCAACAATTTGCAAAAATTACACTCTTGTCCTTAAGGGAGACATGCACTTGGACCTAAATCAGGATTTGTGGGCATGAAATCACCCCTTCAATTTGCAGCAGAAATATTGGAAAAAAATTAAAGATCGACCCTCCAAGGACCCCCCAATCTAAAACAAAACTTTGAGCTGCTATACACGGTCACCATCTCCATATGTACATGTATTCCTGTAACTGCTTGCATTTATGCATGGCACAAGTACAGTGTTACGTGCTGCATAATGTTGCCTAAAATGCATTGCTTTACCAGTGTCACATCCAACATGCATCATGTTTGATATTCCACCCTTTTTTTTTCCATTTGCCCTATGTGCTTATGTTCTGGTTCCGTACATGAACATGCAACCTGTACAACTCAAAGAACACCACTTAGATTTTGTTCTGTGAAACCAAAAGCATAATGACATGTTCTTTGTTGCTCTGGTTTGAGAAAGTTTTGGCTTATGTTGTTTATGTTTTCATGTTCAGTTGCATGGTATGTGACGAGGAGCATATTTTGGTTCAGAATATACACTTATACTGGAAACATTCATACATGTATCATACTTTATTCACAGTGTTCCTAATAGCATCTTGTATTGGTGGAAAGTTCAGTTATAGAATCAGCTCCTTCAACATCCGTGATTGTATTGTTGCCTTTCATTTTCTCCGTGTTCCTTAAATAGTTGTGCTTGGGAAAAAATACAAAAGAGCCCCAAATGTCTTTCCGAGTACGAGTGCAGTTGGAAGTGCAGCCCTTCGGATGAAACCAAAGTGATTTAAGTAGATACTGTATTCTAAAAATATTCCCCATAGATTGTTGTTAATTATGCTCCTCTATTTCTAAACCATACTGGACTTATTAGCTGTTAGCTGGAAAATGATACCAATATGAACGATGCAAATTGCACAACTTTTGCTCTCCGTAACTACCAAAGCTGTCTGCAGACATTTTTACTGTGATCAATTTGGAGTGTAAAAATTAACAGTAGGGGACAAATGTGGTCAAACATCAAGATTACCTTACTCAACCTGGTTGTGGGGTATATCGTCACAGTTGCTGATAATGCTTGATGAATGGATAACCTAGTTTGTCAAATGTTGCTGTCAACCCGTTTGTCTGCAGCCCAAGGATATCCCTGATGCCATTTGTGGCCTTTGCCTCAAAAACAGCTCTCAGAATAAGATGGGTGTTCCAGAGAAGATGATCCACTGCTCACAGTGTGACAACAGCGGTATGTTTTCACCAAGCAAACCACCGTGCAGTTAGATTTATGTAAATTTTGTGCAAATTTTAGAGCCCAGCAGATTTGTCAAGGTTATACTAAACATGGCAATGGAAGTATAGTTTTTGTTGACACCATGAAATTCACTAGCGCTATTGTGTGAAGTGTGAACATTGATTTATCTAGATAGGTGTTGTAGCACCATATTTGTGTTAAACATGAGGTGAGAATGTCTTATGATGTATTAACTGAAATCTTGAACAGTTTAGAGTAAGTAACATGATTGCAGTCATCTAGCAGTCAAAGAACACAGCTGGGGTGCACATAATTTCCAAGTCCCATGTTTAAGATTGATGCATTTTTGGGGAAAGTGATGCCAGATGTCACGTTAAGCATTGTAATTTACTGCGTTGATGAATACTTCCATTTGGTCACAAGATGACATCATAGGATATTAGCCGACTAATTGTGATACAAATGAAAGAAGATTCCGCATTGTTCGTTCGCACAGGTCACCCAACATGTCTGGACATGACTCAATCAATGGTGGAGGTGATACAGACGTATCCTTGGCAGTGTATGGAGTGCAAGACATGTTTCCACTGTGGAGACCCTACACATGAGGTATGGCAGCACGAGTGATGTGGCGATACCCTTTGGAAGAGCTCATAGGGTGCAGAAGCGTGGATCTTCCAACTTATAGAATGTTTTGTTCGGATTAGTGCCTGATGGATCTATGTACATCACCCTAGATTATTTAGTGTATATGTAGACTGGACATGGTTTTGGTTATCAATATCACGGTTTCTCATTTGCAGGACAAAATGATGTTTTGTGATATGTGTGACCGAGGCTACCATACCTTCTGTGTTGGCTTACAAGACATTCCTACAGGTGAAGGACAGTTTATATTCAGATGCTTACGTGTATACCTCTTCACATGCGACTAGACAAAGTGTAGCAATTTTTGTTTCGTCAGCTCTTATGGGAGAACTGGTAGTGGACCACTGGTCGTTCCCTGGGTCTGTTCGTCTCACACGGATCTGGCTTGCAATCAGTGATCCCATGGATAGTTTCGCGCTATCCATTTAGTGGGTTTTGGTGTCAGTGAACCAACGACAGATCACTGATCACAATCGGGATCCCTGTGAGGCAAGCAGGCCCCCTGCCTGCGCGCTTGGCTGTTGGGGACACTACATGTCCATGTAGTTCAGATGCATGTAGGAGTTGGCGTTTCACTCTTAGACCTGAATTTGCCTGTGTCATCTTTTAGGGCTCACACTCGGACACTATGGTGTATGCTACTTTGCACCAAAGGCCTATTTTCGTTCTCCCTTATCCTTTCCAGTATTTTGCCTTGAGCCCCCCTGTAATACAATGCAACAGTTAGACAGCCTGCTCAGTAAAAAAGACCCACTAAGTCAGCTATCCCCAAAGGCCAAACAGCCTGACAGTCTCAGCATGCAAGGGGACTAGCTCCCCTGGTCTCATTGATGCCATTGATTGCCAAGTGCAACAAGGTCCCATAGATATGCAGCCCGGTTAAACTTTGTTACAATCAGCATGGTGGTGTGCCCAAGAGTGAATTCAAGATATAGTGCCCACGCTAAATGCTGATTTGAAGTGTTCACTACAAGAGGGCCAGATGTGGTTACATGAGGCACATTCTTAACGCCATCAAACTTTTTCCTACCCCAAAACCTCCAGGTCTGTGGGCTTGCGAGAGCTGCCAGATGAGGGACGTGCCAGCTGCGCTCGCCCCCCATGTGCCCACCCCACCGCTGCCCCCTACCCCACCCCTAGCAGACCCCAGCCTGGTAGAGGAACCCTCCTCCCCTCAGCTAGCAGAGTCCACCCCATCCAGCAAGAAGAAAGGGCGGAGATCGGCCACTCCTGTGTCCGTAGGCAAGCAGTCCACGCCGGGGATGAAAAGAATGAAATCATCTACACCAACGCCCAAGAGAGTCAAGAAGAAGTAGATTCAGAACAGGCGTGTGCTTCATCAAGCTAGCTTCACTGATGCCATTTTATTTCTAAATTACAGAAGCTTACTGGCTCTGAATAGAAGTATCCCCTGGCCTGGAAATGAGGAGACAGACCAAGTCATGCAAACACCCTGCATGTTTATGAACTTTTTGCTTTACACTTGCAAAAGTTTGTGCTGGCACTGAGTTGGCAGAATGGTAGCAGTTGCTAAGTAGCAGAGCTCTCCTATCCTGTTCATGCACAAATGTTGATAATGTCAGTGTTAGTTCAGGGATTAATTTGGGTTGAGTGGTTTGGGGGAGTCTTGTCTTGACATGAACTTCATGAAGCGACTCCAAAACGGCATAACTGGGGGAACTGAAAAGACTACTGGCTCAGGACAGTGGGTGCGCTGTTTACAGCTTTGAAGATTTTAGGGAGAGTTCTGTCTGCATTTAACTGATTATTAAGAACTTGCTGCGGGGGAACCCCGTTTCAGACACCATGGGTTTATACGCAGAGCCAGGGTGCCTGAAATGGGACAAAAGAGCTGGTCCGTGTAACAAAAGATCATACTCGGAACAAAAGACCTGCTATTGGGAATTATCATTTTTTCGGCGTGCATTTTTCGAAGGTAATCCGTCACTCTTTTTAAACAGTATATTAGCACTGTGGACAAAAGTGTTCCAGGGCCCCAATGATAAGCAACACAACACCGCTGCATGCTAATCTAGCTGCGTTTGAAAAGATGCCACTGGCATTCACTGGGCACAAAGGAAATTACACAACACTTCACAATTCTGGGCTCTCTTTACAGGGCGGCAGGCCTGCCTGAAATACTCAGGATTCAATGAAGGTTGCCTGTCAGCTTAGAGTAGCCACCAAAGAATCATTCGTGTGGATGTAAATGTCCATTAAATGAAATGCTGAATTTTTGAAGAATTTTGAAAACTGAAAATCTTGAAAATCTCCCGTATGTGTGCACTGCATTTTTAAAAGCACCCAGCAGCAAGTGGTTAATGTGTTAGCTCAGTGTTTACTGTGCTAAATACTGTATTCTGGAAGCTACAGTTTCTCTGACCATCCTGGTAAATTCTTTGAAATCACTGCAAATAAGAATACTGATGTTCAGTCGGAGGAACAGGTCAATGCGTGGTCATGTTTTAGATTTAGTAATTCAGGTAGTGAATGATGTAGGGTGTATTGGGCTTATTTATATTGGTTGCATTGTTTCTAATGGACTTTCTGTTACGGGGCGGCATGATACTTTGGCCGTTTTCCAATACTCAACTTCGTCTTTGTCTCAGGCTTCATTCCCAAAACCAACCCCTGATTGTGGGCCTGAAGCATTTGAATTATATTGGATTACTATAATTTTTGGCTTTCTTGCATCTTATTTGATGTTCTGTGGTACTATTAGACTGAGTACTGCGCTTTCAGCTTCAAAGTCGGCAAGTAAAAAAACAGTTGAAGCCTGAGACGGAGCCGAAGTTGAGTATTGGAAAACGGCCCTGGGCATGAAAAAGAGTGTTAATATGTGCATGTACCTTGTACAAGGATGAGCAGTTTCTTTTACATATAGGGCATTTTTGAAACGCGTGGCTTTGGCTTAGACTTCAGTTTTACTGGTTCCAGCCAGAGCGTGAACATGTGGTTTCCAACGCTGCTTCAAAATGGCTGGAACCACCAAACTGTAGTCTAAGCCGAATCTACGCATTTCGAAAACGCCCATTGACTGGTTTTCACGATTCCAAGATTTTTGAGACAACGAGCTATTTAACGAGGTTATTTTCTTCGTGAACTTAAAAAACTGTGGCATGGAGCAGGGGATTGTGGACTTTTCTGTTAGGATTTCAGGTGGTTCTTCCTGAAGTTGTGTCTGTGAGGGCATTAGGTGCATAATTGGGTATAGTCAGTGTGAACGGACATCCTGTGAGATATTTGACTTGCTTAAATCCGCTCTCCTAGCCATATTTGTTCTTGCGTTGCAGTGAATGACTCAGTGTAATAGGTTGTAATCACTGGCTTCAAGGCATCATAGCAGCAATTTTAACTCTAGACCATAGGCTTGGGGCTATCAATCTTGTATCACAAGGTTATGTTTTCCAGTCACATTATGGTCACCACAAACAGATGAACATTTGGAATTTTCAGTGTTAATTCTTGGAACCGTTTCAGTTCACCATCATGTATGCCCTCTGCGGGACAGAGGAATAGTTTGCTCAAAACTGTGCATGCAACATTATTTGCACGATAGTTTTTCTTGCATCTGTTATTTGGTTTTCAACTCTGCATTTCATCTTCTCTCAGCATTCAAATTGGCTTAATAATTACTTTCTGCTTTAGTAATGCTAAATATGTGACCTGCTCTATCAAAGTGAGAATTGAGTCCCTTCAGTGGCTGAAATTGTTGACTTACTGCCAAGAAGCAGAATTACAGTTATGTGCAAGAGTTTAAGACCACCTTGAATTTTATTGGTATTTCTGTCCCTGGGCCTTCATTACACTGTCTCCCGGAATGATTACTTAACATGATTTTACAGAGGTGCATAACATCAGTGTAGTGCTATATGCCCATTTGAATGAAATTTTGTGCAAAGGCAGGTCTTGTATGACATTTTGTCTGCAAGGCAGCATGGGTAAAAAAAAGCCAGTCTCAGCAATCAGAAATAAAGGAGGGTACACTGAACATTAGACTGTTAACATGTCAGGTCATGGAAATGTAGTCAAAAATGTTCAACCAAGGTACCAAGGTTACACATTGAAAATAAACATAAGTTGCCATGATTGATTGGTTTCAGTTTGGTTTTCCTTCAGGTCAATGCATTTTCTATGGGTGGTCCTAAACTTTTGCAGATGACTGTAGAAATTAAACTTGACGATTAAAAAAAAACGTTTTTAGAGGCTTTATATACTGACAGAATGACAAATTGTTGTCAAATGCATCCATTTTAATAAACAGCTCCATTTTCCAGTGATGCAGGGATCCCTAAAGTGTATTATTCAACACTACATGTTTGACAGAGCTGATCCGCTGTATGTATATTGACTGCATAAACCCATACGAGTCATACATATTTGAGTGAAGTCACAAAAACCAAATAAGATTTTTTTTTAAAGAAAAGATTCTCTGAACATACAGTGTACCTTATTCACATTTGTACATTGCGCTTAACTACACGTACAAGTTTAATGTATCCCATTAAATTACCCAATCAATTGTTTTTGTTCCAACCCTGTTGGTCATCTATATAATCTTTGCATCATCAATAGTGAAATGCTTCTTTTTCAGTTAGTAAACAGTTAGGAAACTGTTTACCAATGTTGGAAAAGGGTCTCACTGAACAGAAACTCTCATTTTATGAACAAATTTCTGTAGAAAGTGACAGTACTGTTCAAGCTGGCGCAAACTCAGGGTGGCAAAACACTCAAGAAGTACACAAACAACACTTGTTTTCTTTCTGTCTAGGATAAACTGTTTACTATTTAACAACCTGCAAGTACAGCAGATCTTCCTTCCTCCAACAGGGAATTGGTTTTTGTTGCATAGATATATGTACTTTAGACAAGGTACCAAAATTATACAAAAAGAGGAATTCAAAACATATGTGTTCTGTTAGGAGAAATGGTGGAACACAGGCATGGGCTCATTGTTTATGGGTCGTGTGCTAATAGGAATCAGTTGTTATGATAAGGGAAAGACTTCATAAATGAAATGTGAATGAGAATCAATCATAAACCATGGTGCAGTCACTGCACACTGGCTCCTTGAGATAAATTCTAACATTTTAACTGGATAATTAGTTTAAGCACCTGACTGTTCAAACAAGTACTACTCACAGGCTTTTGTTCAAATACTATTAAACATTCAAAATGACTTCAAGCTTTTAAATGATTAAATACTAACAATTTAATTGAAAGCCCAATATTCCATTTGATTGAAGAAAGAGCACACAAATTCTCTGCTTAATTTAGAACTCAGGTAAAATAAATAGCACTCATGTATTGCTTTATTGATACCAAAATTGAAAGAAATAAGGCAGTATAAAAATAAGCATTATAGTTCTGTCTGGAATACCATATTTTCATTGGCCCAGAATGATCATGTGACCAGGTGATAAAAACACATATTACCTTCAACCTTATGCATATCACATTGTGATATCATAGAATAGTCCCCCAAACCTACTTTCACTCTATATACAGCTGATAATAGCAGACTGATGAAGGATATGATCAACTCTTGAAATGCTGAAAATTTCTGTTGAAGTTCATTTCTTCTTAAATGTTCATTAACATAGTGTCTGTTAAGTTTGATGACACAAGTAGATTCTCCTTAAAAATGGTTGAGAGATTTTAAAGATACCACTTTCAAGCAAGACAAGTGCAACCAATAGTTAAACCGATAGTGCGATGCACCGAGTCTGTGCACGTGGTACAACTTTCTGAGCAGCAATTAATTAAAAACACTTAAGGTGAGGAAATAAAATGCAAAGAATCCAAGACCTCTAGAGGTATAACAAAACAATTATTGACTGCTGTGATGTGGGATATGACCTGTTGGCCTGTATCAAACATCCCACATCACAGCCGTCCAGAATTGTTAAATACTCTATTCGTCATTGTCCTCATTGTGGTAAAAAAGATACCTTTTCTGAATCCAGGTGACCCAGCTTTGAACCCTACCAGGTACACCCTGTACCTAAACAAGTATTGAGTGTCAGTGCTTGCTTGATGGCCATGGACTGAAAGATCTTTTCTCCATCTTAAAAAACCAATGAAATGGGGAGCAATGCCCAGGTACTGGCTAGGTGGTTGCAGGATGAAAATAGAAAACAGACAAAAAGTGTCCTCATGCAGTGATGAAACCTATTTGGTTTCCACAGTAATTTGCCAACGAAGGCAAAAATAGAATTTGGACGGATCAGAACAAACTATTTTGATTGGACGGATTACAGGCATCAACTCAAACTGATTATAAACACAAAGATGTAGAAAACTTTCTTCTGTCAGGGGACGCGTATCACACAAATATGCCTTCAATCTCGAGTGTATTACACAAGTTTTTAAAATTCTATTTACAATTCCCTTTCACCTCCTGACCCAATTTTCTTATTGCTGATAATGTTGCACCTGCCAATGGAGGGTGGATAGAAAATCAAACAATGGACATCCTTACTTTTATTGCTTCAAAACTACCTTGAACGATTCCCTTGTTACATCTTGATTTTATTGCATAAAATATGAGCCAAAGTTAAATACTCACATGATATCCACTCAGTCAAGGTTCTGCAAAAAAGGTGTTACCAAAATGTACACAATACACACAGCGATTGACTGGCGACCATTTTTTTTTAAACTCCAGTAAATTCATCTCGGAAATTTATACAAAAATATTCACTGTACAAAACATCCACTGTACATTTGCATGGCTATACTGGCAGAAGAGGAATTCTTGAGGTACTTTAGTTTATTACCCATTTGTTTGAGTTAAAAACGAAAAATATTAAGGGGACAGAATCGATTACCTGATACTGAAGCTGAAACGATTACAAATTCACCCATTGGCTCAAAACAAAATGACTGGGTCAAAATACCATGCTTATACATCTACATGCATCACTCACGTCTCCAGTTCTACTCGTACACATTTTGTACATTTTAATTTGATGCTAACCTATTCTTTGTTCTTGCTCTGGACAATTCAAATTCTTGGAGTTAATGCCACTGGTTGTATTTTGCTATAATTCACTTTCTCCATCCGTTGGAACCTTCCCTGGTAGACTTTGCCTGAAAATAATCACCCAAAAAGGCCAAAGATGTGTTAAAAGTTGTGCCCAAACTGAATTAACCTGCACCCATAGCAAAACGTCGGAATACATTCAATTTTTGCAATCAAGCAGGACAACTTTCTGCCACATTGTCATGAATTCTTGTGTTCAAGCTTCACTTGAGTCCTACTATTACATCACAGACTGCATACAACGTCAGATCACTGACTAAAATATGTCAAACATTGGGGCAATAGGGGCTAGGAAGGGGTTACAAGTGGGGGGCAAAGAAGGGGCAGAGTGTACTGGAAAGAAATTGGACTTACAGTTCATCATCCGATGATGACGAGGGTGGCCGGGCTTCCATGTTGGATTCGTCGAACTTGACGTCATTCAAGACGTTGAGCTTGTTATCCTGGGCAAATTTTAACATCCAGGAGGGCATTTCACCATTCTTGGCCTTCTCACGATTCTGCTTCTTTTTGACGCTTGCCGGAACCTCTGGTTTCTCAACCGTCAAAGTGTCTGTTGGAATAGGAAACATACCAATGGTAAGAGATAAATTGTTGCCATGAACCAACCTGAATCCGTCTGAAGACTGCGTTCACTGATTCTGATTGGACGTTGCAAGAGTTGAACTGGTGAACTTTGACCTACTCCTGATGATCATTACTGACTGGTTCCACGCTTGAAGTGAGGACCCACACACAGAATCGTTTCAAGGAAGCTCTAAGTTAATTCACTGAACTTGTGGGGCGTATTTCATTGTAAGATACATGAATGAGAAAAGAACTTGCTCTTCAAACCATACATCACACATTAAACCAAGAAAATATTCGGTGTGATCTGAGTCAAAGACAGGAGAAGGTAAATTTTTCAGTAATATCTGTTATAGAGTTTCACTGAACAATTTACAAAAAAGGAGTTCAGAACAACAACTTGGGATTGGAATTTGATGAGGCTGAGCCAAACACTGTCCATACTGAATCTGGGAAGGTTGGATCCCTAAGTTTCTACAATGCAGGAACCTAATATTCATTTTATTTGAACTTTCAAAGAGCAGCACGGAATGATGACTTTGTCCTGGTGGCTTCAGATGATTCCAGGAGGGTAGGGATAGGAAGTATATCATATGATTATTGGTACTTTTTAATAATACTGGAAAGCCTCCAGGATAAACTGATAGCCTCATGGAAAAGCAATTGCCTGGTTGATGGGTGGAATGGACGTGGCTTAGCATGACTTGATTATATATTCCAACAACCAGTGGCTGTGTTGACCGGCAATGAAACCATGCACTGATCCTCTCAAAGATGGCCAATGAAGGTGTTAGCACCAGATATACATGTATGTTGCTTGAATGGCCATAGTATGTCTTCATGCTTGATTAAAAAGACATCTGCTTTGAAGATGTACACCAGACATGTCTCACAGTTAAATAAGACATGACGGATACTTGTCAAACCTTCAGCAATTGTACAATCACTGCAGTGTTAAGCAGTTTAAAAACAGTTCTGACTTTACAGTAACATCATTTGACAATCTTGGACAGACATACAGTTAATAAGACTAGGGAAACCCAGTCCGGTCCATACAACTGGAAATTGTAATTCGATTTGATATTTTACAGGAACTTCCAAAACAAAAGCTAAAAATGCTTCAAACCAAACTTAAATAACTAAGTACATTCAGAAGTTCTAACACAGCAGCACTAAAAATTCAAATCCCCCTAGGGTTTTGTGTTAATAACATTAGTTATTCATTACTGATTCAATCTGTGCATTATCAAAGTCAGAGTGTGGTGGGAACTGGAGAACAATTGAGATGTAGAATTCATGCAGGTTGGGGGATAGAACTGCAGAGGAAATCTGTATTACAATCCAGCATATGAAAAAGACTATCAGGACACACATTCAACACGACAAAATGAGGAATGGAAATACTGAAAGACTGGAATGATTGGACACAACGACAAACACTATTCGAATCATTGAAAAAAGTAGTAGTCAATCGCATGCGAGCTTGAGATCATGTCTGATCTGGATGTTCATTGGGAAACGATTAGTACAAGGAAAAAGGTCTGTCAAGAGCCAGGCGTTTCTTACCGGTCTTTGAAGGATATATGTCCTCCTCTTTAGGTGGCAAAATAAAAGAAGAATAAAGGCAAAAACTTGCTCAAAATTCAGAACTTAATGTGTATCATTCAAGTTATATGCTGAACAAAAAAAATATTGCAATGAGTGAATCCCGATTTCAGTCAAGTATGATGCTCCAGATAAAAGGAAAACAAACAAAGAGCATGCTTAATGGCCTCCCTGCTCTTAAAAATGATATCAAAACAAACTATCCATGTGAATAAGTCCTGCAATTTGAGATCCTGAGACTAAGACACTAATCCTTTTTCGAAGTAGTAGTCGATTGCATGTAAGCTTGTGTTCTCTCTTCTCTACAGGTTTCTTCAGGCTACAAGTTACAATACCCTGGAACTCTTTTGAGAAAGCCTTGGTTTCATTACCAGAAATACGTAAGAATAGTAATAATCGGAAACTGATTAGTACAAGGAAAAAGGTCCGTCGACAGCCAGGCGTTTCTTACCGGTCTTTGAAGCATATTTGTCCTCCTCTTTAGGTGGCAAAATAAAAGAAGAATAAAGGCAAAAAATGCCACAAATTCAGAAATTAATCCATTCTACATATTTAAACAAGTCTTGCGATCTGACATCCTACGACCAAAACACTGATCTTTTTTTCAAGGTGTTGTAAAGGCAAGTGTCATGACAAAGTGGTAAATTTGGCTCAAATAAATGTTCTCTCGACTGTTAAAACTTTTCGTCCACCCAGGATGGTGATCCCGACACAGAATGATCAGTTTCCTAACCTTTTTGGACAGACAATTCACAAGAGGATTCTTCTTCAACTGGCAAATATAAAAATTCAAACAAGAATTGCACTGGCACAGAAATTAAATACACAGAGAATCACTAACACTGAATTAGGTTACCCACAAAAACATTACTACTCATAGCCCTAGTCCAAATCTAGGATTGACCAAAAAGTTACACTACCGGTCAGTCGCAGACAAGAATTTGAAGGTTGCAAACATGGTGAAGTGGGGCACAATTTGAACGTCTTGTTTTGAGATTCATGCTTACTAGTTCCAGTCCGATACAGAATGTGAAGATCACACTGTGGTGTGAATATTTAGGCAGGTCTATCCTGGGACCCTAAAACCAAGACGTATTGCCTCGAGGTTTCTAAGTGATGCCTACTCACTTTTACTCGCACTCCCTGGCTTGGATGTTGGTCCCTCCTCCTCTTCTTCTTCAATCTCTGCTAGGTCTGGCAGGGGTAGGGTATCCGCTCTCTCCAAACTGATCTGAAGGTTCACACAAGAACAAATGTTCAAGATCCCACAGGAGGACACTTTTTTTCCAGTGTCTTTGTTTTTATTTCCATTAGTGTCAATGTATTTCTCAATTTGGCATTTTCATTAATTTAAATTCGGCAAGATTCTTTTACAAGCTTTTTAGCAACTCAGAGGAGACTCTGGTAACTTACGACTCATTTTTGTTGGGTTGGGTCACACATCATTCTACGAAATGGGCACTACTGATTGCAAGTTAGCATTTTTGCCTTCATATCACAGGGATAGCACTTAATTGGTGTCTATCCTTTTGAAAGAGAGCTTAAATGGACTGAGTTGACTTGTTAAAGGTGCTGAGTGGTGCTATCATGTTACTGGTCTTTGTCACCATTATGCCTCCTGAACACCATCCCAATGTTGACCACAGTAATATGAGTGCAGTGGCCATGATCAACAAACTGTACTGACCCAGAGGGAAAACATACAACAGTGACAAGAATACCTGAACGAACATTCCAAGTCACCAAAGCCTTTGCCATTGGAAGAAGGTTGCAACTACAACAAAAAGTTGTCAGTTTTGCAATGCAAATCCCTTGAATCGGGACTGGAAGGGTTGAGATTCATCAATGTTATCATAGATGATTTTCAACCTTTGAATAATATTCAATCTATCCCTATTAATGTTCAGGACTGTTAAACAAATGAGGTCTGATATGCAGGCAATTTACTCAATGGTAAAAAAAAATATGCATACTGCCAACTGCATTCGAATTTTCAAAAAGTCCCAAATTTAACAATTCTAAGACTAACACCCCTGAAGATGGTCACGTATTCAGGAGGAAATCTGCTTTACTCTTTCAATCAGCAGTCAATCAAGTTCTGGTCAGACTTTCCCATGTAACCACATATATGTGATCTCTTGATTACTAGAATTTCAATAGATTGACTTCCCTGAATACTGGGAACAAGACTCTTTCAGCTCAAGCAGGCTCTTCAAAGAAAGCAGTGAGGACAGGGAGAGTGAACACTGTGTCTGCATCCGTACCATGGGAGGTGGAGCCCGGGGTGGGGGTGGAGCCCGGAGTGGGGTTGGCTTAGGTAGAGGCACTGTCTTGGATAATGCTACGTCATTGTCAGGTTCCTCCTCAATGACGCTGTCATTTCTGCAATCATCAAAACGATTCAATGCCTAGTAATTTTCACTTAAAAACATGTAACTTTTCCACTGAAAACTGTAAAATGTCAAAGGAATGTTTTAACACAAGGATTCTTGCATGTATAGGGAATGACTAACAAATACGTAAGTCTTGATTATAACTGACTTCACACATATTTACTCACGTTAGAGACGGTGGCTTCCTTAAGTTTCCTCCAAGCTGCAATGAGACGCAAAGGATGACAAAAAAAAACAGTTGATGAATGACTAAATCAAACAGCCATTAGAAGTCAGACAAAAGTGAGCTGAAAATCGACATCTTTAAAACAGTGCTCTTAAGCGGTCCATTCATTATCTCTAACCTTGCATTATAATTCAAAATGCTCAGAGATGACAACTGTTTTTGGATTTGTTCAATTTATTAATCACTCCATTCAAATTGACTCTGGCTTGCGGCACAGAGAGGAGGCAGATTCTGATGTTATCTGGTGTGTTGCCATAGCTACAAGTCGTCTCAGTTGATTTCTAGTCTTGGCCATCTTACCGTGAGTGAACCTGTCAAGGAGCCTCTTCCTGATTGGCCCTTCAGAATCTTGTTGAGTGCTTTCAGCTGGTGGCAAAAGAAACAGCCAATCAAGCGTCACTACTCATACGAAGCATCAATAATGTTCTGTGTGTCCAGTACTCTATGACTAAGGGGAAGCATAAAGCAATGTACTGCACCATACTGTCACAAACAAAACACCTGTGGTATCAACTATGGTTTCTGAGTTACTAAAACCTACATCTGCACAACATGTTCACCACAAGTATGCAAAAGAGATGGCTTTTAAAAGCAGCCAAAGAAATCAAACAGAACAGTAGTTATATTTCAAGAGCCTCCACATTTGGTGTGAATTCCAGTTGTCATAGCGATCCTCCTACTTCTGGCCTCCAAACCTTTCTATCTTTTCACTGTCTTAGAGTTGCAATACAGCACTGTATCAAAACATCCTGCCGAAGGTTCTGAGCTCCCCCCTCGGAATACTACAAGAACACATCAAAACCATGAGGAAGGTTGACTTGAACTAACAACTGCCTGCAAAGGGTTACCACAATATTCCTCCCCCTGGTCTTACCAAAATCTAGCTTTGAAAATGCAGACCTAACCCGCACTCCAGATTGCACCCATGGATACGTATACAATACACACCAGCCAGTGATGTTCACAAGGCAACAGGAGGAACTTGTTAAACTCGCATGGCTCACCTCTTCAGGATTCATGACGGTGATATCACCCAGGATCTCCTTCCGCCAGCTGCCTGTGTTGCGGACCTTCAGTCGTGGCTTATGCTTTGCTGCAGTGGCCAGGGATGCAATCTGGCTCAAGCCCACTGGATGGAGGTGATCCCTCTGTGAGTCCTACGCATGACATTGGACAGCCGTCAAGAATTTGTACCCCTGACCTCACACATGTATCTAAAAGCTGACTATGTTTAAACAGGGCTTAGTTAGAGGGAAGTGTGTCCAGCATATTTCCACTGACTGCTATCCACAGATGGTATCATGGGTGTCAGATGAAGGGTAAGTGCATAACCCTGGAAACACTGAATCAAATTATATCTGGGACTTGACATCTGGGCCATAAACTTCACATCATGCAGGTGTACACTGTGCACTTGCATTTATCAACATGCACAACGTAACTAAGCCCTCAAAATGTTGTGCCTCTCCCCCCTTTCCGAAAGTCTTTGATCCACCTCTGATTTAACAACCTCCATTGTTTCTTTGATGACATTTCTGACCATTACATCAACCCTGCTCTGATATTCCTCCACACTTGTGATATTTTGATTAGGGGAGAGAGCAGAATTAACAGTGTTGTAGTTAAGTACTTTTTTCCGAGTACCAAGTACTGCCGAGTACTTTGACTGCCGAGTACAAAGACAGGGCGAGTACTTTGCCAGCCGAGTACAAGTACTGGTTTCCGAGTACAAGTACAAGTACTTCTAATTCCGAGTATGAGTACGAGTACTTCTAATTAAATATGCGGTAAACGGAGGTCTACCTCGGGCTTTGCAAGGTTTAAAAAGGTGTTTTGGGATACCTCAAGGTAAAACCTTGATACCACCTGTTTAATTTTGCATTCTCCCATTACTTGTAACCCATTAGAGTATGGAGTAAGTTTAAATTTGAGTTGAACTGAACAACCCTTGCTTACATTAGCACCAGGCAGGGTACTGTTGGCACTATCCAGTGATCCCATAGTGTCTTGATTCCAAGCTGGCTTAGGATTATCAGCAGCTTGGTCAGCCTTTTCCTGGTCTTGGAAGTGAACCACGTTGTTTCGTTTGACCTCCTTGACATGCGAGGCTGGGAACCAACCCTTCTTGTCTTTGATCTGGCCCTCCCACCAGTCATCTTGCTGCAAGGCAATCAGTCATTCAAATTGACGGTGCGTCAGTGTCTGTATTGCTCATGCTTTTGAAAAATATCAGAAGTCCTTTGCAGGCAAAGGGAAAGACAAGAAAGTACTTCAGCTCCAGCCTTTCGCCACAATGCTCATTGTCAATGACAGATAATCACAGTGGTCCACACTACTCTAGTCTACAGCAGACAATGTACAGAGCCATTCAGGTGCCTAAGTAGGTGTTTGTTACCACCAATATTTTGTTCAAACAGCCTCCTTCATGCACTATGAGACTGGAGAGGGGTTCAATATCTCTACCATACCTTTTTCAATATGGTGACCTCGTCTCCAACATTCAGATCCAGCTCTTGATCCTTGCTGCCCTTGTAAGCTGTCACCACGACGATCTTTGTCCTGGATACCTTCTTCTTCTTCTTGTCCATCATCTTCTTCTTCAGCTGTCTCCGTTTGCGCTCTTGGGGAGTCAGACCAGAGTAATCTTCCACCTCCTTCCCAAATAATCAAAACAAAAGAACAAACACCCCGTTGGTACTCTGAGTCTTCTTTCTGAATGTTAGTTAATCAAGTATGGGGTCGAAGGTCAATACTAGGGATTGGAGCTCAACTAAGAGTGGTTTCTCATGTCAGAGAACAAGTATGCTTCTCTTTAGCACTTCAATGAAACATTATTACATATTTGAAAGACTGAATGGGCAATCTCCCCAATGCACATTCTCACCTCCTCCAGTTCCTCATCCTCTTGTGGTTCTGGTGTCTTGAGGCTGGACTGACTAGAAGTCTGGTAGGGCATAGGACTGAAAGATCCACTCATGCCAACCACGCTCTAAGGCCACATGAAAGAAGAACCTCATTTGTACGATATATGTATGAAGTGTAATCAAAATTAATATTTCATTACCTGGTCATGAATATGGTAGAATGTGGCAAAATAAGGCTGATGGTATCATCTAGACTTCAGGGTACCATTATACAGTTTTTGAGTGACTTTGTCATACATACACATGCACCATTGATTACAAGCTCCCATTGTCTGAAACTTCAAATCGGGCGTTAACTTCTGGTTCTGTGGTTCCATGTAACTCGGTGTACAATGGACGTGGTTTAAACTGAAGTGACATCACACTTACAATCAGAATAGCTTAACAAGGTCACTAGGACAAGAATACATTTACAAATTACACATATTCACGTGTAATTAAATACAACTTAAGTTGCAAAAAATGCAGACTTTTGATGAACGAACAAAAATTTGCATGAGGATACTGCATGGACTTCAGGGTGCTAGATCAAGATGGCTGCTGCTTATAAAGGTCAGTCATTAGCATCAAAAGTGACTCACCACTCTGCTTGGTCTCCTCAACCTCGGACTGCCATTCTGATTGGTTCGTTCAGTTTTGTCCTTGCCTTGCTCTGCCTACATTGAGAATTAAACAAAGAAAATGCTGTCAGAAGCAACTGATGAACATCCGCATTCGGGATATTTCAATCAATATTTATTTGCACTGAGCATATATCTCTACACAATGCCAGTAAACTCTTGGTTTGTTAACCTTGAATGTTGCGTGCTCATCCAGTAATCAATCTGTCACTTCACTGTCAAAAGCCTTTCATGTGTAGGGTTTGAAACCAGGGATATTGAACCGGTCCAATTTTTGCACATCAAGCTGCTCTTCCTTGAATCTTACAATTCATACTGCTTGACATTCAGTCCAAAACGTCAACTTAAAAAGAATTTGACCATACCAACTCTGCACTAATTGTTTAAGCTCTGAGACAATTATATTCAACATAAAACAACATTTCATGTAGCACTAACCCTTGAACTCTCAAAGAGATTATTCAGGAATGTCTTGGCTGATGTCGCAAAGTTGGCATCCTGCACAGAGAACAATGAAATAGATGGGATTTCAAGCTATTCATGGTGACAGACAACTAAGGTGGAAAGCTTGCGGTAGCACCATGCAAGGAGACGATCTCTTTGCGAGTCTGTATCGTTCTGAAAAGAACGGCGAGGAAACTCAACGTTTCGGACAGTATGCTCTGTCCGTTGTCACTTACATCAGTGAAGCAGGGTAAATATTATATATAATATCCCCAACGCAAAAAATACATCTTGAAAACAGGGTAAATATGGGATTCCTCACAGGTTAGGATGTAGTAAGGAAATGTGGGCTCACAGTTAAAGTACCGGACTCACGATCAGGGTTTGAATCAAGCTGCTAGGCAGAGGTTGAGGCCTTGGATTGGGCCCTACTTGTCCCCCTCTGGCCAGGGGCATAAATGGGTTCTGGCTTTAGCTTGGGGGCAAGCTGTGATAGACAGGCACCCCATCCAGGAGGGAATACAAATAGTCTCAGTAATGTTTATGCCAAGGAAACTAAAGATGAACATTGACCTAATGAACAGTAGTGCCTGGGGAAAGGCTTGCTGTTACAGGTCACCATGAACAGATGTGTGAAACTGTTTTCAAGACACTACATCATGGGTGTTAACATGTTTCAAATAGGGTCATCCAGCGACTGCAGTGTACTAAAGTGCAACCTCGTTCACTTGGGTATTATCTTGCTGTGTCATGTAGGTTCTGGCACCATGCCCTTCACAAACTTTGAAGGAACGTGCACGCATCCCATGGAGTGGAGGTTGACTAAAGTGACCTTATGAGGTCAGTGCCTACACATGCATTACGAAGCAAACCAGTACAATGAGAGTGCATTTTTAAGGGAATTGTGACTTCTTTTTAAGCATGAAGGATAGGCATATTACTCTGAATAAGAAAGACAAGGGATTTTGTAATATCTAGTAAAAGGCACGCTTGAGATCTGAGGGCCTCTCTACACATTGTGCACCCCTACCTCTGGTTCAGCTGGCTTGTCAGTGTCTTGGGCAGCAGCTAGCTCTTTCTCGGTGCCCAGTTTGTTGAAGGCTTCAATCGCAATGGCCACAAACAGGCTAAGAAGTGGACCAATGCAACATTCATCAACAGTGTCCTTTTGACTGTAGAAACGTAAACTTAGGTCTGACTTTTTTCAAACAATGCTTCAGCATCACAAATCCTGACAAACATTCGTGACTCCAAAATGCTAACACATGCACGTACATATTAATTGATGAAGTCTACTTTGAGGTATTCAAGCAGCGGTTTCTTTGCTTATGCATCTTGTAGCACACGTGGACCAAGAAAAAAGTGACCACCATGCAATTAAATGCAGTTCACACAATATAACCTAGGTAACGACCCAAATCTACATCTCTGTGCACAAGAGCACATAAGGGTGATCCAAGTGTGATAATACGTCCAAGACAACTTACTTCATGACAATCAGATTGATAAAGATGAAGCCAAGAATGAAATACAAGCAGGCCCAGTCAGTGGTGGAGACCATAGCCTGTCAAAATAATGTCCGAAATGTCAAAACAATGGCTTGAATGCCAAAACAATGCCCCAAATGTCAAAACTATGTCCAAAAGGTCAAAACAATGGCCCAAATACCAAAAATATGCAAAAAATGTCAAAACAAAGTCTAAACAGATTATTGTAAAGGTAGGAATAATTAACACATCAAAGGTAAGTACAATGAAGCAAAAATTCATTTGCAATACTCAATAGGAACATCATTAAAACCAAGTCTGGTTTCCACAACTACTCTTAAATATAGTGCCACCTGTTTTTTAGCAGGAGTCATTGCAAATCTAGCGAAAACAATACTCATTTTATTCAATCTGTAAACACTTATTAAAGCTGGATTTTTGTTGACAATTTCCTGAACTGTTCATCATCCTTTTGCAATGGAAAACCCTGACCCAAAATCCCTCTAAACCTGTTTTTCAGAGAGGGGGAAACCTTCTGAGGACCTTGCTTCGTCCACACAAGGTTCACACAATCCACACTGTGTGGACCTGTTTTGTTTTCAGGCCAAGACAAGGATGGCACGGTTGGCACTCAAAGCAATTATTCTAAGACAAATTGTGGGTGAACTAAAAAATCCATTCTAAAGATGAACAACTGGAACAGAAGACAATGCACTCCACACACTCACCGAGTTCATAATCTCATGCCAGTTACTGGTAGTGATAATCTGGAATACCATCAATAGGGAGCAACTGTTGTAAGAAAGATAAAAATCCAATCAATTAGAGCAGGTTAGCTTTAATGAGACATGTTGAATAAGATCTTTTCTATGTCACAAACTTGTGGCCTCTGTACATCCCTACTATCAGGGTCATTCCAGAAATTAGGGGTCCAAAAGTGTGACATTTTTGTGTCCCAGTTACATCTGACCTTTGTTATTTGACATGGAAATATCAACAAAATTGATTTCAAACAATTACTATTTGTTTGGCAGGTAATTTGCATTTCATCACTCTTGGAAATGAGAAAATGAATTACGAACTTACAAACTCGGAGAAAAATGGACCCCTAATTTCTGGAATTATCCATCATTAACGACTTGCTGCCGGGGAACCCCGATTCGAGCACCATGGGTTTACACAGAGAGCTGGGGTGATCGAAATAGGACAAAAGAGCTGGTCCATGTAACAAAAGACCGTACTCAGAACAAAAGACCTGCTGTTGGGAATTATCATTTTTTGGCTTGCATTTTTCGAAGGTAATCTGTCACTGTTTTTAAACAGTATACCACTGTTTTGGGCAGATTAGCACCGTGGACAAAAGTGCTTCAGGGCCCCATTGATGAGCAACACAGCACTGCTGCATGCTAATCCAGCCGCGTTTGAAAAGACACCACTCGCATTCACTGGAGACAAAGGAAATTACTCAACCCTTCACAATTCTAAGCTCTCTTTACAGGGCGGCAGACCTGGCTGGAATATTCAGGAGTCAATGAAGGTTGCCTATCAGCTTAGAGTAGCCACCAAACAGTCATTTGTGTGGGTGTAAACATCCATTAAATGAAATGCTGAATTTTTGAAGAATTTTTAAAACTGAAAATCTTGAAAATCTTGCATTTTTAAAAGCACCCGGCAGCATGTGGTTAAAGCCTCGCTTGTGTACAGGGACTTGTGTATGGGTCAAAATACATGATCCACCTATGCACATATGATGCATCAACAATGGCTATTTGAGAAAACTTAATGACTGGAACGAGCAGTACATGAGCATTCCTCTAGTAATTTAGGGACCTCTTAAGGATTTTATTTTACATTCATGCATGCTTTATTCCATTCATTTTTTCCTTTCTCCCTCAAGTAAACAAATTTTAAAATTACAAAAATGTCACCAATCCAACAATTTATTCCCCACATTTCACTCCCTCCACTGTTTTTCTGGCAGTAGTACTGTATTTCAACTGCAATAATTAGCCAAAATCTAACAAAATATCCAAGTCTTCATTTCAATTAATTTTCCACCCTGATCCATTCTGAACAGCAAAGGACTTGAATTTCAAAATGTCCGACACAATCTTATTTTTAAAGAGTGGCTACATATTTTCCTTCTGTGTCTTGCAGAAACTGCCAACGACTCATATCTCTAAGTCAATTGTTTATGCTTGATTCTTACCCGAGGGACTCAAAGCCTAGCAGACACTTGTAATCGTAATGCCCAGAATTGTAGTCATAATTGGGAGTCTGACTGTAGAACAGTTCATATCCAACAACGGAATACAAGAATCTGCAGGCAAATGCACAAAGAAACATCATCAGTCATGGCCCTACTTACAAGATAATTGATGGTAAATGATGCCAGTGAAAACATCACCAAGTTTATATGAACACAAACCCTGAAAATTGACTTACACACAATACTAAATACATGTACAAATTAATGTTTCATTGGACTGAATTTCAAACTTAATCGTACTTTGGAGAAACACGTACTACTTGGAACTGTTCAAACTTTAATACATTTTTTTCCTGACAACAAGCAAAGCTTTTGCTGTGAAATTCCTTTATGTGTGTATTTTACAGTTTTAGGATTATCTGCGCAGATAATAAATCAAAAAGCAGGTCTTGAAAAGTTTGTCACTTTTAAGGCTCTTTGCATTGTGATTTGTGCACAAGATGCCAACAATTCAAGACAAACATGCATCGGTCACTTACAAGATAACAAACACTAGGATGATCAGGTCAAACATGACTGGGAATATTTTGGTGAAGAACACCACCACGGCTCTCTTTGTCTGCAAGGGGACAACACAAACATTTGTTAATGGAACTGACACCATCAGTTCATGCTACACGTTTTATGAGCAAAGGTATTACATGACAAGTACAAGTAAGTGAAGCAATGGATGGGGAACTGTACGTCTTCAAGCAAGTGTTCTACGAAAAATCCAACATCAGTGTCGAGCTATTAGGACAAAACATCAAAGATGTTTGCAAGTTTAATTCAGGCACTGTGAAGTTCACCTGAAAAGCTGTATGCTCTTACAAATGTCAATTGGTACACATCGATGCAAGAAACTTTATGAGTAAGTGTAATGGGTCTAAAAACATTCTTGGAATGCTGTGTTTGAAATTGGCTTCAAGGGCTACAATTACGTCTCTTGGTGGCGTGTTGCTATATTTTTCAATGAGTGAAGAGCTAGACCTAGTCAACAGATTCGGATGCAGTCTTAGCCGATGTAAGAAATGCTGCCTTCACGTACCTGGGCTGAGTTCAAACCCACTCTGCAGGCCACCGCCAAACCCCCAATCACATCTAAGACCTGCTTGTGCTCGGTTGAGAAGTACCACAGGATGTTGTTGATGAGCGCAATGAGAATGAAGACAATGTCCAGCACCTCAATCACTTCCTTGAGTATCCTCCAATTGCTGAAGACACGCAGACATGCCTCAACCTAGTCCAAGCAACATAAATTGGTGAGATACTTAAAGTGTTGGTTTTACTTGTCAAATTTAGTGCTGCCGGATGCCAAACTGGAGCACTGTGCTCCCTTACAAAGGAAACATTGGACAGAACTGTGAAAGATGCATGGCACACTGCTGAAATCTGCAAATTACAACTGCAGCAAGTTTTGCCATAAAAAGAATAGAGATCAGATGTACTTTCATTTTTTGAGGTGGTCCATTATTGTCATCTTTTTCTCACAAGGTTATGAGACTCTCTCTCCTCTGATCCCTTTCAAAAAGTATTGAAAGATAATGATGATGGCCAACTGTCATGTTTTAGTTTTAATGGCGCTTTCAGCAACTCAGGCTATTTGCGCCAATAACAGTACGTTTATTCACACACTTCATTAATAAGCAACACATTACGGAGTTAGGAAGAAGGTCCAGTTTTAGAGGCAGGAGGAAACCGAAGTGCCCGGAGAAAACCTGCGAGAGCGAGCATGGACTGGAAACCAAGTGCACTTAAAGCCTGGGCCAAGCCGGGACTCGAACCCGGGCCTCATTGGTGCAAAGCGAGGAATCTTCTTGTGGTACACACTTGCATTGCAAATGTATTATATTTTCACACCACAACTTCAAATGTGTGCCGTATGTATGAGAGACAGATTATTTCAACAGAGGGTAAAGGGACATGGGAAAGGGGATGGTGGACACAACTTTTGTCCAATAACGAGAACAGGATTTTTAACCTTTTAGGTGGGAACCTCCTTAAAATCTTTCTGTGATCCAATAACAGGGGCTCTGTCCTTGCAAAAATCACTGTGAAAACCATATTACGTTGACTGACTGCAAATGATAACTCACCAAAAACAGACCAATGATGACTGATTTTCCGATGTTGATGCCCAATCTGGCAGTTTCTGACATTCCTCGCCATTCCAGACAGAACAGAATGCTGTAATCAGAACAATCAACTTCAAATTCTATCAAAATGTTTTTCCTGAGGAACTTTTGTTTTGGATGCAAAGGGAGGGAATACAGCAAGTGGGTTAAGCTAGGTTTCTCCCTGTCTTTTGCCTTCTTTTCAACACATTATCGGTAGAAACAAGGGGGATTGAGAATGCCAAATCTGCTAGGAAGAATGCACAAGGGGGTAACACTGGAACAAACTGGTCCATAAACTTAACTGCTTCTGTTTCTGTCTTCCCCTCATCATCTTTGGAAAGATTTGTAACCTGCAATAAACACCAATGTTCCATTGATGTTTTTGACGCAGGTGTAAGGTGTAATTATACTCAGGTATAAATGCTTTCTTACCAATGTGCCACGATGAAAACCATGACGGCTCGAGCAAACCAATCCGAGAAGATGAGTTTCTTGACAACTCGTTTCAGGTTGTTGAACCACTTTGGGTTTGTGCTCTATAAGGGTAAGTACAAAGTCTCAAACAGACCTGAGCTACATACATACAACCATTAAAAGCAAGGTTGACGTAGAATTAAATTAATACACACTTTGCCCAAACTATCGAGAGACACTTGCACCATCTGGTGGCTCAGAATAATGAAGTCACAAACATGTAGCCTACAGCGTCTAAGGATAAATGAGCAAATCAAAGTGGTAAACATTTCTGTGAAACCAGAGATAGACAAACAAACAGTTATCCGCCAGACCTTTCCAAACATCCTTTCCACCCCCAAATCAAATAAATGAATGCTATCTGCTCTTTTCAAATGAACATGCATGTGCACAGGGTATGTTCACCCACAAAGACTGGTGCTAGGCAACAATACTCTCAGTCTCACTGAGCCCATAACTGATCACCTACCATGTCCTGTATCTCGTCCATCTCAAACTCAAAGCAGAGTGCCTCATTGAGTCGGATGGTCCACTCCAAGGAATCGACTACTTCATCTTGGTTGCTGTCTAGATAGGAGATCAGCTGCATGTTCATCTCATCCGTGTTCTAATAAAAATAAAAGGTAACAAAACACACAAAATTGCTTTCATCTTGTGAACAGAAATACTAAATCAAAGCTGAATGTTTGGAATTGTGATAAGTGCTAGCCAGGTGATACTTTACCAAAATTCTCCCCAATATGTCAATGTGACTTTGTTAAGGCTTTGTTTCCAATACACTGTTGTTTCAAAGAGTGCTTTGCAAAAAGCCCAGTCTGTTTTTTCCTTCTGTTTTCAAAATCGAGGAACAAAATTGACATATAGTGTAATTCAAAATCTGATGCACAATATTTGATAAAAGACATTGGAATGCCACGTGGAAGTTAAAAACCGCAGTTCAAATGTTGTCATAAGGGTCAATTGCTACTACATCTGCCTTCGCTATAGCTGCTTCTCTTTGATGATGGTTAAGGAACAAATTCTCAAAGAAGCAAGTGTTGCTACAGAATCGCATTCAGTGATACATACCTGAGGCTTGAGAATCTTGAAGAGCTTGATGAACTTCTCATCATAAACGGGCAAACTTCCCTTGCCTAATGGGTCCAGCAGGTTCCAAGCCTTGGCCAGCTCAGCACGTTCCCTAGCTCGCTCCATTTTCACGTGTTTCTTGGCAAACTCCCTGGTATGAGAGAGAGCATTCCACAGAAAGAGACACATCTAGTATTGCCGGATGCAGTAATCTAATCTTTGATGCATACATTTCTACTCTATATGGCATTTACAAATGAATGTTGCAAAACAATTTGAACACAGGCTGCTACCAATTATTTAATGATCACTAACTTGGTTGTCATTAAGATCGGGGTAAACCTACTGTAGAGTTCACGTACGCAGGAATTTTGCACAAAGTAAGCACAGAATCCTTGGATAACAGATTTATCAATGACCACAAGCCAAATTACAGTAAAATAGACTAATGGTTGGTGTAGAGTCTCCTGCTGAAGTTAGCCAAGCAGTACAGTAAGCAGAGCCTTAGTACAGTAAGCAGAGCCTT